AAGATCCAGACGTTCTCCTCACTGCCACTGTATGAAGCATCGTTATGAATGCTCAGACGGCGCTTGAAACTTGCCTCTTTTGAAAGGAAACGTAGATCCCTGCTCTGGACATAAAGAAAATTATCCTCGTGAGCTATCCTCACGCAGAGCACTCTCAAAAGATCATGCATTCTGCAGGTTTTAATTTTTCCATTAACGGATCCTTTTGACCGACCAAAATAAGATTTCTACCCATAAGATCATCAGATATTTCTCAGCTTCAGATGGGTATGCAAATCCCTCAGCCACCCATAATTTGATGAGTCTAGAGACAGGAATCTCATAGTTTTCTGGGAAAGCTCCCATGTAAAGAAAACATGGTTTCAAACGATGAGGCAAGTTATTGTAACTTAAAGTTAATATCTCTGAGTAGTGATCCTTTTTTTTAGCTATAATTGAGCTTAAATTTTCGGCAACATACTTCCAGTGATGTAGTTGCTTATTTTCCTCTGCAAGGAGTCCAGCAACCACCACAAATGATAATGGAAGTCCTTGACAATTTTTTGATATATTCCTTTCGACATTCACCAACTCAGGAGGGCAATATTCTTCTCCAAAGACCTTTTGACAAAATAAATTCCAACTTTCTTCTTCCGTTAGAAAATCCATCAGGTGATGATTGTTAGTTGAACTGGCATAATCAGCAACATCTGTTTGTCTGGTCGTCAATAGGATTCGACTCTCGTTATTGTCGTCGGGAAATAACATTTGTATGTCATTCCAAGCATTTGTACTCCACACATCGTCCATTACAATTAGGTATCTCTGGCCATTGAGACTTTTGTATATACGTTCTTTTAGTTGTTCATCACTTCCTTTGCGTATCTTATTGGTAAGGATACCAATATCATCTAGAAGTTTGAGAAGAATTTCCTGAATACGATATTGTTGAGAAATTGTTAACTGACTTCAATGATATCTTCATTATGATAAGTGTTTCGAGCGGGTTAGTCGCTAACAATTAAAAGG